GTGTGCCTACGTATAATTATTTATAATTATGGTTGATGAATTTCAAATATAGTATCTATGCATGTATAATTATCTATAATTATGATTTATCAATTTTAAATTATATAATTACTATAGGTACGTACATCTATATATAATTATGACCGATTGATTTAAATTATGTGATTACTATAATTACGTGTCTTATTTGTGTATATAATTATGACTGATTAATTTAAATTATGTGATTACTATAATTACGTACATTTATATACATATAATTATGGTCAATTTTGAAAATTAAGTTAATTTCCATATATATATGAAAAATAAGTTAGAAAGATCCATTTCTAAATAAGTAAACTACCATATATGTGTGAATATATATATATAATTTTTTTACCGTATAACTTATTGCCTTATTTAGTGCACAATTATAGGAACACTATTATGATACATTCATTTTGGTACTCCTAAATGTACCTATAAATATCACACGTAAATCACACCCATAGAGATACAACTTATCGCTTTGTTGAAGAAGTTAAATTTTCCTCTCTAAGTATTTACTACGATTCTCTTCAAATTATCAAAGTAAGTGTAGTTATATATTGTATGTTAAATCGTTTTTCATACTTTAAAATGCAAAATTCAATTTATGAATATGATATGGGTCCTATATGTTTAAATTCAATGGACATGAATTTAGAAACGCTATGCACGGGAATTATAACAACGAAATATGGTTCTTAATTCTCGTTTCCCCACATATGTTATGATTATGTGTGGGGATTATGACCACCTAAGTTTGGTTTCTAATACCCGTATCTCCTTCTATATGTTAAGAATTCCTAAATTTTAAATATGAATTACGATTTATGTGGCTCACTTATTGGGATTTTATCTTATTGTTTATAATTTCCCTCCTTTTAGGTAATTGAAGTTTGAGGTATTGGAGTTTGGAACTGGTCACTGGTGGTATAATAAAGATGAGATAATTTATGAATTTTTAAAAATAAATTTTATGATTAAAAAAGTGTTTTATTTTCAATTATTGTAACTTTGGAAATAATTAT